GAACAACGCCAGTGAGTGAGAGTCAAGAAGAAGTGCCTGCCTGAGTGCGCAAGATTCCCCGTGGTACTTCCCCGGGAACGACACACGAGGTAAAGTCGACGTAATTTTCACGCAGGGGAAATAAGGCATCACGCTGGCTCTCCTGCCCTGTATGGTATAAACGACCCCAGCGGGATCGTTTCAGAATATATGGGGATTAGTTTCATTGTTAACGATTGTTAATTGACGCTTTTTCGAAGGCATTGATGAATTTAAGCAAGACTTCAAATACCAGGACTTGTAAAATTGACATCAAGATACATTTTGATACGTCCCATTTTGTAGACAACAACTTACCGCTTGTGATGCCAGCAGCGTAGGGCCCACGAGGAAGCGGACATGGCTGTTGGGGAGGAAGAATGCTGCAACAGACGAGAGGCTCGAGTTAGCTATCAGCTCAGCACAGCACAGAGGGGAGGAGGCTGGCGCGGCGGGAGGAAAGAAAAAGAAAGAAGAAAAAACAATAAAACAGAAGAAATTTTACAGCAATTTTGACTATCTGCAGTGCACTGCACAACTGCATATAGGGCTAGATTGCCACTTCAAATTGCTGTGTGTGTTACCGGAAAATTTCAGGAAAAAACGGAAAATTTCCCCGACTTTGTAAGTTTTCCGTAATTTTTAAAAAATTTAAATTTTAAAATTTTGAAATTCCTAAATTTTGCGGGCATTTTTCTGAAATTTTGCGGGAATTTTTCGTAAATTTTCAACCCTAGCTGTTATTGTGAGTTACTGAGTAATTGAGTAAGTCGGTGGATTGGGGTTGGGGTTGGGGTGGCGCCGCTCGCGAGTCAAACTTCCGCGCCAAACAACCCATCCCGTCCAGACCTCTCCAGACAGCCCAATTAGCCCCAACTTCCAATCACCGACGTCCCTCTGCCGTCGTTGACGTTGGCGTTACAGCAACAGCCCCTTTCCTGCTGCTGCAACGCGGAAATGACGCAGGATATTCTGACCCCCCCCCCCTCGCACCTCTCCTTCTCTCCGCCAAAACCTCTCAGCCAGGCGACGCGCAAACCAGGGGGGCCTAAGGTGATATAGAGATAGGTGGCCGCAAGCGGGCGAGAGTGGGGGAAGGCAGATCCTTCGCGCCACTCCGCCGATCGGTTTGAAACGTGCTGGGTGCACGCTGGACCAGGTATTAGCAGGTAGCAAGGGTCGGCTTTAGGCCGGGCGGCCGTGCTAGGGTCGAGCTTCGAG